GGACCTCAGTTAAGTTTAACGTAACTTAAAATTATTTTACGTTCATAAATTGGAAGAAATAATCAAAATGTCCATCATACTTCAGGCATTGTACAGACTCATGCAATCCTCAGTTAAACTGATTCAAGAACTTAGAACAATCAAAATTTTTATAGAATCATAAAGTTCCCAAACAGTCAAAGAAATTCTCAGAAAAAGGGTTGAAATTACTGCTCTTTTTCACTGCAAACCTTATCATAAAGCAATAGTAATAAAAATATGGGATACTTGAATAAAGATAGATTCACTGAAATTTGGAAAAGAAATCGCACATAAAATCCTCAAATTTATCATAGTTGATAGATAACAAAGAAACTAGGTGCATAGAGGAAGAGTGGAAAACCCCTTTAACAAGTGCTGTTGTGGAGCTGAACAGCCATATGTAAAGAAAAGAAACTAGAACCCTATATCACTCCATTCAGAGATGTTAGTACAGATGGATTAAAACCCTCATTAGACCAAAATTCATAAAAGATATTGAGGAAACAGAGGCAGGACCTTGGAAATAGACTTCAGAGGTGCTTTCAATTATTTGACTACAGACTCAAGAACAACATAAATAAAACTAAACAATGGGACTACATCAAATGAAAAAGATTTTACATGACAAAAAATATCTCGAACTAAAATGAAAATGAATCCTTCTAAGAGGGAGAAACTGTAGTTCTAATATCCAAGCCAAATAAAACACTCATAAATCTCAACTTCAAAAAATATTGAGTCTATAAAAATTATGGAGCAAATATGAACAGATAGTTTCCCCAAAGAAGACACAGGGATGATTGGTAGACATATACACAAAAACGCTCTCCTGCTAGGAACAATAGTATAGGAGATGGAGCAAGAATTTGCTTTGCAAGCTGTAGTCAAAATTCAATCCCCAGCACCCCTATAGTCAAGAGGCACTACCAGTACAATCCATGAGCACAGAAACAGGCTGAGAACCTTGGGTGTGGCCCCAAACAAGCAAACAAAAAGTGTTCATTTCTATTTATTATTTACAAATTGACTATCAAAGGAACAAGGCAAGAACACCTCATGCCATACATCAAAACTGGAAACAACTGGTTTCCTGGCATTGTGGTTCAAATGGAATATTTGCTCACAGTCAATGGGTGATCAGTAAACCTTTTGACTGTAAACTTTACTATAAGATTAAAGTAAAGTAAAGGCCCTCCCGTTGTTCATCGATTTGCTCGAGCGGGCCCAGTAATGTCTCCATTGGAGACTTTGTTGTTACTGTGTCTGGCATATCGAATACATCACAGGGAGCTTGCCAGGCTCTGCCGTGCAGGCGAGATACTCTCGGTAGCTTGCCAGGCTCTCCAAGAGGGGCGGAGGAATCGAACTCGGGTCGGCCATGTTGGCTGCTGCGTGCAAGGCAAATGCCCTACCGCTGTGCTATCGCTCCAGCCCCCACTATAAGATTAGAGTAATAAAAATGATTAAAATTTTTAATTGAGTCTCTATAGAGAGCTGTATAAAGTTTTTCAAAAGTACAAAAATAGAGGTTCCATACAACCTATCAATTCAACTTCTTGTCAACTATTTCCTAAATACAAAAGTATTAATTAAAAAATATGCACATTTTTATTCATACAGCACTTAGTGTATTAGCCACATTATGGGAATTACAGATGGATTAATATAATTGTGCTTAAATATGCAATAGAATACTAGGCAACCACAAGGAAAGATAGAAACGTGCAGTTTACTGTGGATGGAATTGCAGGATATCAATCTTATGTGAGTGAGAAGACAACTACTAGATTGATCTCTCTATTCTGTGGAATATAGATAGACAAAAATGAGAGAATAGATAGTACTGAAATGACAACTTGTTGGTCTTGTATCACAAAGCTTATTAACAAAGAGTAGAAAAGAAAACAAGAGGTGATCCGGGGGCAGTGTTGATGCTCTGAGCCGTGATCCTCCTGGTGATATATAATAATTTTGCAAATCCATACTATAAGCCTAAACATGTTTGTAACTACCTAAATAAAAATAACTTTGAAGAACAGATTGATTCTGATTAATTTTGCTCTATAGTCTTTAAAAGTAACACCACCAAATTTTCTCTCTCTCTCTCTCTCTTTGAAGTTAGGAATAATGTAATTCAGTATGTGCATAAAACAATCAAGTATATCTAAATTTTATAAAAATTTAAAATTAATATTTTTATATTCCATTCAAGTGAGTTATAAGAAACATTTATCTTCAACATCAGCTAAAATTATTAGTGTTACTCATAGTTTCTCATAGATATTTCATTAAAATTTTCATATCTTCTCTCCAATTCCACTAACTTTTATGTTTAAAAGTTTTCATTTAACATATTATCTTAAGTTTCAAAATAAATACAGAAAAAATTAAAGTTAAAAATGTATCTTGTATTTGCATATGTGTATATCTCTAGAGTGGCATCTATGTTTTTCATGTATTTTTTTAAAAAACTTATGTACAATAAACACTTTATTAACTAATTTACTTCATTACTTTAGATGTAACTTTATTATTATATAACTTGTAATCTTACTCATTTTTAGCCAAATATGTACTTGTTGGCTGCTGAAGTATGAAAGCTTGATACTTCTCCCTTTCTGAAAGCACTCTCTGCTTCTATCTTTCAGGGAATCATATCTCTATTTTTTATTATAAATATAACAAATATGCCCTTTTACATAATACATTTTTACTTTTATGTATGTAAATAGTTAAAGTAAAAAATAATTTTTACTTCAACTAAAAGTATTGAGTCCAGAACCAACTTAACTATTACATTTTCTAATAATTCTTAATCACATTCTATTACCTCAAATAAATTCTTACTTCTACTGTTGCTTAAAAGTAGACATATATAAGGTTTCAACTTTATACCATGTCTTTCTTCCATAGTCACTTTTTGTTTCCCTCTTAGAAAAACCAATCTTTTTTTCCTATGTTTTTCTTTCATCCTATATATTGAAAGCTCTTTTGTTTTCTTCCAGAACTATATGGAATTTTAAAGTTAAAGTTTCACCCTTATGTTTATGATTCTAGAAATAGGTTCTTATATATAAATTACTAAAATTTGAATGCTTTCAGCTTCTCGATTTTATTAAAATGTATAAAATAGCAATGCCACATCTAATCCTCAGTACACGGTTATAAAATTAAATCATATCTATTGCTTTGCTGAATTTTGTCAGATATTTTAAGTTTTTAACATCAATTTAAATGAGCACTGCTTGAAAATGGCTCTGAGAAAATTATATAACTCCTGCCAGAGTGATGATATTCTTTAATCTAATCCTCACTACTAATGCCATTGACTTCATGATTTATTACAGATTCTCCACGAGAAAGCAAATAAACCTTACCTAGAGCATGTTTTAACTTCAATACTTATAATTATCTAGATTAAGCTTACCGATCAGATTTTTTTTTAATTAGCAGTAATCAAGCCTAGGTTAAACCTTATTGGCCACTGTGCAGAGCTACCTGTGAGAATTTTCACAGATGTTAAATACAGTATACAAAAATACCACATATTTCTGTTACCTCTGGTTTCCAGTTAAGAAAACTGAGATTTAGAGATACTATCCAAGTTATAGTTTAAGTTAAATCTCTCTAATAGCAAAAGTGCTGTCCTTACACAAGCTGCTTCCATATAGCTTATGAACAACAACAAAAAAATAACAAGAGATAGTAATTAGGAAAGCTACTGAAGATTATGAATTTCCAAGTGCTTTTTTCTTGTTTTTTTTACATAATGAGAATATTTATTATTTCCATCACGACCATTATATACACGATTTCAAATTATTTATGGAAATACCTTACCATTAATCAAAGTGTTAAGAGCCAGACTTTGGTTGAAAAATAGAGTTGGCTAAAACTAAATCACAAAATAATAAATTACTTCAATTTGTGTAAAACTAATAATTTAGGTTTTGGTACACTTTTCAGAGAAAGCCCTTTAAACTTTAATTGCAGAATATCTACATTACCCACCTGCCATTAGCGGTTACTTATTTTAATTCCAGGTAAAAAGAAAATATACAATGAAGCTGCAAATTTTGGGCTTGGACTCAAGTTCTGTTGATCTGTTTTGCTCTTTACAGTTTCTTCATAAACAAACAACTAAACATAAAATCACCCCAAAATCTGAGGTACTCATTTGTTGCTTAGTACACGTGCTACAGTAAAATGTCCACAAGGCCAAAACTATTTTCAGATATATGTGTAAATGAATAGATTTTAACCTTGACTTTTCCCACCTTCTTATTAAATGTGAACTCTGATTTTATTAGATGTGAAAGATAAAACTTCCCCCCGTAATTAGTAAATTGAGAAATATATTAATAGACTTCCCCCAAATTAAAATGTTATGCAAGCCTAGTCATTTATGTTATTTTTATGAAGGTCTTATAATGAAGCCTATGTAATCGCATGTTTTGTACTCCCTTATCTATTTTAGATAGATTCCTCTGTGGCTGAAGCAATAGCACAACGGGTAGGGTGTTTGCCTTGCACGCAGCCGGCCCAGCTTTGATTCCTCTCTCCCTCTCAGAGAGCCTGGCAAGCTACCGGGAGTATCCCATCCACACAGCAGCCTGGCAAGCTCCCCGTGGCATATTTGACATGCCAAAAGCAGTAACAACAATTCTCACAATGGAGATGTTACTGGTGCCTACTCAAGCAAAATCAATGAACAACCAGACAACAGTGCTACAGTGCTATATTCCACTGGATAAAATTTGAATTCTTAGGTATATTTGAATTAGGCTACCGTATTCTTATATGTCCCAAATCTTGCTTGATTGTAATAGTACTCTGTATTAAACAAATACATCTTTCTCATCTGATAAATTACAAATCACCTAGTAAAATTTATGCCCCTAATATTTCTCCATTCTAGTTATATCTTTGAACCCAACACTCTTAACTTTATACCTTTACTTTTCTATGTTTTCATACAGGCAACTATGGAGAAAGTGGAATGGAAGCTTTCAAAGACATGTCAGCCAAGGAAGGGATTTGCATTGCCCACTCTTACAAAATCTACAGCAATGCTGGGGAGCAAAGCTTCGACAAGCTGCTCAAAAAGCTCAGGAGTCATCTCCCGAAAGCCCGCGTGGTGGCCTGCTTCTGTGAGGGCATGACCGTCAGAGGGCTGCTTATGGCCATGCGGCGTCTGGGCTTAGCAGGAGAATTTCTGCTTCTCGGCAGGTGAGTTATGACGAGAAATTCATATAAAGGTAATAAAACTTAAATGCCTAAGATGCTTCCTTAAATCCTTATAGATTCCTTTAGGAAGCAGACTTGTTTCTAATGTGCTAATATTTGTGAAATAAGCTTTTGAAAAGAGCTCTATAAACTTATTTATAATATAGAATCTTAGAGTGTTAGGTTTAAAAGTGATAGATTCTTTTGGAATAAATTTGCAAATTATTAGAATGGGTTATTTTGCCTGATCTCTATATCCTTATTGGAAAAGTTTTATAAAGTGTAATTAAAGTTTCTATACCATCATAAGTTTCTATACTATTAATAGAGACTGACCTTAATCACCTAGAAAATTCATTTATTTACACTATTCAACACATTTTATGCTAATAGTGCAGAATCTGTAAACCTTAGTCAGAGCTGTGCAGGAGACTGCAAACAACAATGTGAAAATATGTGATGAAAACAAACAAAAGAGTGAAAACTGGCAAGCTCGAGAATTAAGAAATTTAAACCTATAAGCTAGAAGGCGTAATGTTCAAACTCAAACAATAACTCAGTAATTCCTCAACATTTTGTTCTGTTTAATCTTCAGTTGTTAGGTGTAAGACCATACAAAGTAGAAAAATATTCTGCATGCCTCTGTACATAGATATACACACTAATTTCATACAGAAACACATAGAGATACTCAGAATAATTTTTGGTCGAAGAAATGTTTAGTTATTCCTTGGTTGAATCAGATTGTCACATAAAATTAAATATTAATAATATGAAAAAATTCTATTTTTATTGAAATAAATGAACTTTACCGTTTCTTATGTTTAAGCATTATTGTTATTGCAAATATTTTCTCAATAAATAGACAATTTTGAGAAGTGACAATATCTTCAGAACCATTTCATCATTTAAAAGTAAAAAGTCAACTTGCTTTTGATAGTTCTTAAAGCAATCATGTTTCACTTATATTCTAAATACTTAACTGACTTTTTTTAATCAAGTTTAGGTGATACTTGGCACAATTTATGACAGTTTAATTTATCCAATTACTTTTCTGTTTGATCTGATGGTAATAGATAGTTTGTACAATTTTAGTATAGAGTATATATACATATATAGTATATATATTCTCTCTAGATAGTATATATATATATATATAGAGAGAGAGAGTATATCACTTAATAAAGTGACAGTGAGATTCCCTTTTCATAGATATAAGAAGTTTTACTTAAAACCATTCCTAAGTGGGCAAGATAAATTCACAAGCAGTTTCATAAACTCCTGCTATGTATCTGTTAATATAGATTAATTTAAACATGCAATAGGAACACTAGACCTAAAAAAAGAGAGGAAAATAAGCTGTTTTTAATAAGTTTTGTTTTTCTGATAGAGGATTAGAGATTGTATTCTGTAGTTTCTATATGCTTATTCTTATACAATAATTATCCCAAGCTGTCATTTTTCACAATTATAATTTATGATCAAATGTTTGGTTTATATATGTACCCAAGAAAAATAGAGTGGTATTAAAAATCTCTGAAATTTTACATTTATATTTTTATTACCAAGAGCATATGGAGGCCAAAATTCAATGCTTGTGCTTTTATTTTTAATATGTCATTTAGAGTAATTATATCCAAATAATTGGTGGTATAACAATTTTGTAACACTAATAAATTCAATTTTTGAATTATTTAATTGATTAGCTAGTAATAATTCAACTTTTACTTGAATTCCATTTATAGCACTTTTATGCAAATTTGTAGAAAAGATCTTTACTCTTTTTCCTTTTATTTCTTTGAAAATAACATGTGATTCACTTAAATACTCGAGAACAAAAGTATGATCCTTTGTTCACCTTGCCTTTGAAACATTCAAACTTCTCCCATTCCTACTTTTTCATTGTGAAATGATACTGTTTTTTAAAAATAATACTTTAGTTATTATAAATGGCACTTTTTATAATACCCTAGGTCTAAAAACATTTAAGACTAATAGTTCATTGAGCGGGCCCAATAACTTTTCCATTTTGACACTTCTCGTTACTGTGTTTGGCATATTGAATACATCATGGGTAGCTTGCCAGGCTTTGTGGTGCGGGCAAGATACTCTTGGTAGCTTGCCGGGCTCTCCAAGAGGGGTGGAGTAATCGAACTCAGCTCGGCTGGGCTGGCTGCGTGCAAGGCAAATGCCCTACCGCTGTGCTGTCACTCCAGCCCTAATTGTATCATTTATCAAATATTAAATGCTTACTGAATGCTGTTCTCTCGACACATTGTATTATTTAATTACTTATTTGACAAATATTGAGTGACTACTATGTGTTATGATTCTTGGAATACATTCGAAAACAAAAAAGAAAAGAATCATTCTACATATGGACTTTAACAGATGATAAATTAGAAAGGTAATAAGGGGTATGTACTGCAAAGAATTAATGGAGATGCATGCTGAAAGTAGACTATAGACCAAACATGATTGCCACTAAATGCCTCTTTTGCAAACCACAGCACCCAAAAGAGAGAGAAAACAAAAAGGAACGTCCTGCCACAGAGGCGGGGTGAGATGGGAGGGATGTAGGGGTCGGAGTGATACTGAGATCATTGGTGGTGGAGAATGGGCACTGGTGAAGGGATGGGTACTCTATAATTGTATAACTGAAACCCATGCACAAAAATTTGTAAGTCTAAAAAAATGAAAAAAATAAAATGAAAAAAAAGAATTAATCTAAAGAACAATTTTCTTGTTTAGAATAATTATTATCTCCATTTTGTTGAAAGGATTCTGTGTTCAATAAGCTTTGAATATTTATCTGGACAAAGTTTTATATATCTATATATGTATCTCTCTATATATAAGATAAAAGTACAATTTTAAATATTTGTGTAAATCTAGAAACTGAGCTGGAGCAATAGCACAGCGGGTAGGGCGTTAGCCTTACAAGCAGCCAACATGGCCGACCTGAGTTCGATTCCTCCGCCCCTCTCGGAGAGCCCGGCAAGCTACCGAGAGTATTGGATATGCCAGACACAGTAACAACAAAGTCTCCAATGGAGACGTTACTGGGCCCGCTCGAGCAAATCGACGATCAACGGGAGGGCCTTTACCTTTACCTTTTAGAAACTGAGCATAATTATTTCTTGGCAAGTTTAAAATATTCCAAGTATTCCTCATTTCTTTTCAGTACAATAGAGTTCTAGGATATTGAAAAAAAATTTAGTGTTTATACCAGAGAATTTAGAACACCCATTCACTTTCATTTTTCAAATGAGGAAACAGATACCACTGAATTTTTGTGACAGGGTCAAGTTCACACCAGAACCCAATTAACAGTTGTTTTTTCCTCACTCCTGTAGCATATAAAATGGAGACATTGCAGTATGTTAGTAAACTTGTTATTTTTTATACATCATGAGTTTATAAAAAAAAAACTTTTTGGGGCCTTACTGATAGCTCAAAGGACTGAGTCTATTTTTGACATGGTAGGGACCCCAGTTTGGTCCCCAGCACTTTATGGGTCTCTGAACACTAACAGGAGTGAAGTCCAAACAGAGGTCTGAGCAGTGGGCCCAAACAAAAAAACATAAACAAAGACAAAGAAAAAAGTTTACAAGATACTAATTTAGAACATTCAAATTTCAGACATATTTTATATATAAAATATTACCTCTTATAAACTTCTACTTAATTTATCCTATGATTTATCTGGAATTTTAAGATCATTTTGTTTACATATATTCAATATATGTAAAAGATATATCCAATCTCTGTTTTCTTCCCCTACTCCTGATGAGCTTGGATGAATAAATAGCATGTATATTCACTATTTCATAGAGGTCACATATTTAATAGCTACAGTTCCTTAATATGCCGTTTCATTGAGCTGTTTGCCAAGATTAAGCTCACTCTGTTACTTAGATATTTTTATCATCTTCCCATCTGTGTTCCACATCAGTAGAAAGTTAACATTCAAGATATCTAGACCTGGATGAAGTAATGAAATTCACATACAAGTGGTACTACATGGAAAATATCATGCTAAGCGAAATGAGTCAGAAAGAGAGGAACAGATAAAGAAAGATTGCATTTATCTGGGGGACATAAAGTAACAAAATAAGAGAGTAACACCCAGGAATAGCTGAGACAAATACCAGGAGGTTTACTCCATGGTTTGAAGGCCAGCCACATACTCTAGGGGTAAAGGCAGCTCAGATAGAGAAGGGAGCATCAAATAAAGGGTGTTGGGAGGATCCTCCCAGGATGGGAGATGCATGTTGAAAGTGGACTATAGGCCGAACATGATTGCCACTCAATGCTTCTTTTGCAAACCACAACACCCAAAAGGAAAGAGAGAACAAAAGGGAATGCCCTGCCACAGAGGTCGGGTGGGATGGGGGGATGGGGGGTGGGAGGGAAACTGGGATTAGTAGTGGTGGAGAGTGGGCACTGGTAGAGGGATGGGTGCTTGATCATTGTATGACTGAAACCCAAGCACAAAAATTTGTATGTCTACAACTGAACCTCATGGTGTTTCACTAATAAAAATAAAAAAATAAAATTGATCACTTGCTACCCTGTTACTCATCAATTTACTCAAGTGAGTGCCAGTAATGTCTCCATTCATCCCTGTTGCATGCTAGTGTAACCCAATGCCATCTGCTCATTCTAGGAACATGCAGAGCCTCAAACCGATCATTCAGGATCTTCACGAAAATGTCTGACCATCTTATAGGTGGACGTCCACGTGAAAAAAATTAAATTAAATTATAAAAAGATATTTAGACCTGGTTTATTCATTTGATTTCTAGGTAATCTGTTTTGTCAGTAAAGATATCCTACCCTTGGGCCAGAATGATAGTACAGCAGTTAGGGAGCTTAACTTTTATTCGGCTAAACTGGATTCCTTCTTCTGTACCCCATATGTCCTGCACCCCATCAGGAGAGAGATCTTTGAGCAAGCTATGAGTATCTCCATACATGCCCTCAATCATATTCACATACAT